ATTTTAAAAGTGCAGTGATTACTTAATGGGAGAATTCCCCAAATAGGACTGAATAAAACTTTAATTATCAAAATAGGACCATAACTTAAAACTTTCCAATTCTACCATTGCTTTGTTTTAATACAGTTCACATTTCATTAATAATTAAAATATAAAAGTAATAACATAACTTTTTTATAATAAAAATGTAATAAAAACAAATCATGGAATAAAAATTATTTAAAATTAATTGAAAAAATTAAAAAAATAAAGAAATTATAAACTAAAATACTTAAAAAATATAAATAAAATAACTAAAAAATGTAAAAAAAAATATAAAATAAAATATGCATGTGCTGCCGCTTCAGCAACCTTCCGGCACTACCAGCTCCGTTCATCGGAAAAAAATGCCAACATGTGCCAGAAATGCCATCTTGATGGCAGTTTTCGAGAAAAATTTAGGCATTTTCAAGAGTATAAATGCCATCTTCATGGCATTTTCACAGAAAGTTTTAACACAAAATTGCATTTTTTAGCCGATTAGAGATAAAGTTGCTTGGCATCTTCATGGAAAAGGCCTCCATATTTTATTTATATTTTTTAAGGTGTTTTATCTTTTTTGTATTTGTTTATAAATTTTTTTATTTTTGTAAAAATTAAATATTTTTAATTTTCATGATTTTTTGTATGTTTTTAAAAATATTTTGGATTTTTCATATTTTATTAAGATTTTTTCATATTTTATTTTTTGTATTTATTACAATTTATAATAGGATTATCCCCTATTAAGTTAGGAATAGGAAGATAGGGTATTCTTTAGTATTTGGGGAAGATAAAAAACATGGCAGTATTTTTTTCAAACTTTGCAGTAATTAGTCCTATTTTGGGAATAAAAACATGGCCATCCTATTTTGGAAATTTCAAACTGTTTTAATTAGGGGTGGGCAAAAATACCGAACCGGCATGATTCTGAACCGGACCGGTATGGTACCGGACCGATAAACGAGGTTTGAAACGGATCTCAAAATTTTTTGTCCCGAACCGGACCGAACCAGTTCCAAACAATGCCATGACCGGTTCTCATAAAATGAGAACCGGTACCGGACCGAACCGGACCGAAGTATGGTTTATTAAATTTGTACTACTATAGTTTATCTAAAATATATTAATGACCTCATCCGTCCCAAATTGATTTGCAAAGCCAACATTTTTTTGTCAAAGTTAATGTTAAGTTCTTGATAATTAATACAATTTTTAATAATTATAATTTACATATTTAGAAACCACATTAAAATCTCTCTAAAGTTGCAAAATCCAAATTAAAATATACGAAGTACGGAGTAGTTTTTGTGAAAGACTAAATTAGAATATAATTAAAAAGTGAAATTCTAATTAAGTGAATAAAAAGAAATTGTTTGACCAAAAAAGATTGAATTTGCAAATCAATTTGAAACGAAGGTAGTATGATATATGAAAATTGATAAATTGTTTGGATTTTTTGGAGGATGGCTAAACTTGAATTTTTTCTTAAACACCTGGAAAAAGTGGCATTGTTTGGTATTGATATGGCATGGTACCGTCCCGTTTGAAAATGGACCGTACCGAACGGGTTTGGGTCTAAGACCGAACCGTACCGAACTGTTTCAATAGTAACGGTACGGGTACGGGTTTGGCCAAATATTGGACCGGACCGGACCGTGCCCACCCCTAGTTTTAATCCTATTTCGGAAACTTTCCCTTAATTAATTCCTGAGAAATATTAGTCAAAGAAAAAAATGAATATTACCCGAAATAGGATTAAAAGGGTTTGAAAATTCCAAAATAGAACTTAACGTGTTTTTGTTCCCAAAATAGGACTAATTATTGTCATGTTTTGGCATTACCAGACTTCAAACATGACAGTATTTTCCAAGTTTGGCAGTAATTATTCCAATTTTGGGAATAAAAAACATGACAATCCCATTTTGGAAATTTCAAACTGTTTTCGTCCTATTTCGGGAACTTTCCCAAATAAAATCCCCTATCTGTAGAAGAAGGGAAAGTTCCCGAAATGGGACTAAAAAAGTTTGAAATTTCCAAAATAGGACTGTCATATTTTTATTTCCAAAATAGGACTAATTACTGCCAAATTTGGTAAATACTGCCATGTTTGAAGTCTGGTACTGCCAAAACATGACAGTAATTAGTCCTATTTTGAGAATAAAAACATGGAAGTCCTATTTTGGAATTTCAAAACTTTTTTAGTGTCATTTTGGGTAATATCTAGTATAGGAATCGTAGAACTACTAAGCTATACTCCGATCCGTATTACATAGTATACTGCGTATTTATTACCTATTAAAGAAAGAAATACTTCGTTGTTCGTATACTTGGTATCAGCAAACCCTACACTCCATTATACCCAAGAACCAGAATGATGAATTCCCTCCTTCGGGTAGCAGCAAAATAATGAAGCTCCAAAAGAGTGGTATTCGCAACCCCGCATTCTCATCCTCTCGTATATATATAGATACGGCGACTATGGTGATTTGAAAGTGAAGTCCATAAGCCCAGATCTCCGCAGTGAAAGACCAATATTATTCTTACAAGGAAATTGCTAATTATAGTTGGAGGCCGGGTTCTGTGTTCATGCAATGGGTTTGTGCTTCTCTCGTTTGAAGAACACACATACGAGCTGGTCTACGAAAGTTCTTCAGTTTCAAGGCCTTCGATATGATAAACATAAGGTGGTTGGAGGGCTATGTTACGATCCATCCATGTTAGATCACAAAGTTGTGTTGTTGCTGTTTAGTCGTGATCGTCAATTTGTTATTGTTTCAAGCCTCAAAAGCAAAGTGTGGCGAGAAGTGTCTTTCCCGTATAACTATTGTACTTCCCGAGGTGGGGTGGGCTTTAACAACAACCTCCATTGGATAGTGAGTGACATCAAGCATGAATATTTAGAATGGGATAATCTTGCTGCACGCAATAAGATCGTTTATTTCGATGTGGTTGATGACGGATTCAAAATAATGCCCTCTCCTATGCCGATTCATGAGGAAGAAGAAGACTCGATAGTTGGCACGGGAATCATAGATGGATGTTTCTGCATGGCTCGAAAGGATGAAAAGACGCAAGTGATCCAAGTCTTACTTATGAAAGAATATGGAAAACAAGAGTCTTGGGTCACGGCCTTTGTAATCCCCTTATTGCGATTTCAACCATATGCGGATTACAACCTCGAATTTTTGTCTCAAAATTGAAAGGTATTCATATTGGTGAAGGGTAGTTATTACACGGAAACATATGTGTATGATGTCACAGAAGACAAACTAGAACACACGTTGCTTTTCCGTGGTGAAGTTAATGTTGGATGCGTTCTTGGTATTTGTTTTTACATTGAAAGTTTTTATTTGCCAAATGATGTGAGTTGGAGGGATAATCCATGATGAGCACAACTGCAGTTAGGTTTTGAAATGTTTTAAAATATTTGTACTTTATGACTAAATAAATATTTATCGTGGCTTCAGGAATCAGGATATCAATATTCAATATATCAATTCAAGAGGCCGGCCAAGAGCATAAGACTAATGGATTTTTATGATGCAGATATTTCTAGTGCTTTTGGACTCAAACGCCTATATATTATAAGAAGGTTTGGAGTCTTTAGACTTGAAAAGCGAGTTTTTTCAATTCCTTTTTGTGAAAATACTTGTATTCTATAGAGTTACACTCTTATTCTGTCATGTTAAGCAGGACCCCAAAAATCAGTTACCCAACCCTGTAAATCAACCAATGGTTTTTTTAACCTGTCTTAAGTTTTAACCAATTCCATTAGCTAGCCTTCCACAGTGTCAAAATTATGACCATTTCCATTTGTAGAAATTTCAGCCTTCGAAATGTTGATTATATATTCTCTATGAGGAAACATTTATTCGTCCTGCCTTTCTTATTCCTCTTCTACCAGCACACTTGTAGGTGGGATGCTAGTAATAATATTGGTATTGGATAATATCGTTACTGATGAGTTTCCTTCACACATCACTATTTCAGTTTATGGGTCTATGATTCTGTTATAATCAATGGGGACACGGGCGGGGTTGTTTAGCTTTTCTGCTTCATTCTTAAAAGATCGTTAATCAGTTTATTTTCACATGTAGTCTATCATAATAACAAATCTGCTTCAGGTTGTCAATTACTATGTGTAAATGTAATACTCCTTCCATTCCAAATTGAATTGCAAAATTAGGGGGTGTTTCGATCTGATTTTAAAACTGCTTCTGCTCCCTGAAGGAGCAGAAGTTGAAGTGTTTGAGTGAAAGTGTAAAAGTTATTCTGGTGCTCTAATTTACTCCTAGAATCAGTTTTTTTAGAAGCTGGGGGGACCAGCTTGTGAAAACTGATTCTGATTCTGCTTCTGATTTAAAAAAGAATCAGAAGCAGAATCAGTTCCAAACACCCCCCAAGTTTTTTGGGTCAAACACTCAAACATATCTATTTTACTCACTTAATTAGGATATATCAATTTTTAATTAAATTTTAGTTTGGATTTTACAACTTTATAAAGATTTTAATGCAGTTTTTGAATATGTAAATTTTACGGAGTAATTATTAAAATTGAATTAATTATCAATAGTGAGAATTTAACTTATTTATTATTTATTGACCAAAAATGTTGATTTTGCAAAATAATTTGTGACGAAGGTAGAAACGAAGATTTCTTGTCAATTACTCTGTTTTTAATTGAACTGATATTTTCTAATCTGGCCTGACCTGAATTGGTCTAGTAAATGTTTGACATCTGTGTACTTTTAAGCAAAGTGTCGACATGATTTAATCTGATTTGATCTATTTAGGATGTTTTTACTTGGACTGTAATTTGCCCCAGACCAGACCAGACTTTGATAGTTATAAAAATACAAAGAAATCAGACCTTACCAGACCAGACCAGTTCAGACCAGATCAGACCAGACCAGACCAGCAAATTACAGTCCAAGTAAGCATACTTAAATTTGGTCTGATTTGATCAGGTTTGCGACTCAAAATAGTCCAAACAAAAAACATCCTTAAAAAGTGCAAAGAACTTGGGGTTTGAGATTGATGTAATGATGGATTGTTTGGGACATCCATATTACCACCCCCAGCTTTCACCATCATGAAACCTACTAACATTGTCATCCCCAGCAATAAGGGTGCATCTAGTATTTAGAGAGATGCAGCAGTTTTGCAGAAGATGAGTTGTCTGTTCCCTGCATAAGTCTTCAGATGCAGAGTCCGATGAGTTGTCTGTTTCCATAGATGAGTCCATGTCTCCTTGTGACTCACTGGGAAGTCAGATGTTTAATATATTGACAGGAGTGAAGAAGCAGCATGACTCACTTCCATTGAGAAAAAGACATTAAGTGCACTCTTCATTTCAGAACATGAAGAAGCTGCAGCAGCATCAGGATGTTTATGCATAGTTTAGTTGTTGTTTTACTTCTATAGTTTTAGTGCATATTGTATAGCTAAGCCAATGCCAATTCTTGAATTGTGGCATGAATTAACATTAAAAAGTACTCGGTATGTGAATATCTCAATTTGCAATACTGATATAATTTGTTTATTAACCTTTTTCACAATTTATTTAATGAGTTTCATACACAATATGGTAACATATGTTGGTGATTTTAGTGTCCCCGGTCGTTTTGTGTAATTGGAAATAACATGAGTGCCAATGAGAATTAGAACTATGATCTAATACAAGTTAGTAGGTGCCAATGTGCTTTTTGTGAATTCTTCAAGTTGGTCCTCCTTTAATAGCTTCCTTATGGTTTCAGTGGCAGTATGTACATTTGAATAACAGTTTAACTTTAACTTCTTCTTGGTCATAAGAACAGGGTTTGTGCAAGATCTAACATCTAACAATTGCCTGACATTTTAGTATTAATAATTCTGTAAGTACTACTATAATCATAAGGCATAATTGGACAACAATACTCAATTTATAAATTTGAATTTACTGTCTTATAGCACAACTCATATATTGTGTAATCTAATTAACATCAAATGCTTCATACCTTAAGTCATATGAAATAAGTGATATGTTAATTGTTGCAAGCATGTATGGACAAAATCAAATAAGGTATAAAATATTCTGTATTTACTAGAACTGAAATATGACTATTTACTTGAACTCAAATAACACATGTGACATCAACTTTACTCTACGAACATTTGATTCATCATTTCAAAAAAAACATTACTTCTACTTTGTTTGTAAACAACATATGTCAATATAATTGTTTACAAAATTTATATTACTTTTCTCTAATGAAGTCATTGAATACATTACCTGACCAAATGGAAGTATAATCTCCTTCTCCTTCTCCATTTTGCTGGGACTTGGCATCTTTGTGTCGAAGTCGATTTCAGAGTTTTCTTCCTTTTCTACGTTTTCAACGTCTGCCTCATTCTCGGTTTTCTTTCTCTTTGCCATTACTGCCTAAAATTGCTTTCAGAGCTTTCGGTTCGTCGGAATGCTCTCCGCTGGTCGTCAAAACTTGCTTGTTGTTCGTCGGTAGTACTCAGCCATTTGTGTTTACCGTTGAAGCTTTCTGCAGATAGAGACGTTAATTGAAATGGGGCTTACCGTTTCAAGTTGGGCTCGCAGTTTGTAGTTGGGCCTGCGGTTTGAAAGGAGTCCTTTGGTCCATTTGGCAATTTAAAAGTAAGGGTCAAATGGTCATAACAGCTCAACTAAGTCCTACGCGTAGATGTAGTCCTAGTTTTAGAAATTTCCTATGTTTATGTCCTATTTGTAAAATTTTCTCATTAATTAATCCGTAACAACTCCAACTAGATAGTTGTGCATGTGCCATCCTAAAATGTCTCAACATCACATTTAGAAGATAAACTTCATTATCAATAAATTTTTAATAACTTTTCGATAGGTGTAAATTATTCTTTTCCAAAAAAAAACTATAAATATATTATTGAGCGGATAAACTTCATTAATAATAATAATTGTTATTTGATAATAATAATAATAATAATAATAACAATAATAATAATAATAATAATAATAATAATAATAATAATAATAATAATAATAATAATAATAATAATAATAATAATAATAATAATAATAATAATAATAATAATAATAATAATAATAATAATAATAATAATAATAATAATAATAATAATAATAATAATAACAATAATAATAACAATAATAACAACAATAATAACAACAATAATAACAACAATAATAACAACAATAATAACAACAATAATAACAACAATAATAACAACAATAATAACAACAATAATAACAACAATAATAACAACAATAATAACAACAATAATAACAACAATAATAACAACAATAATAACAACAATAATAACAACAATAATAACAACAATAATAACAACAATAATAATAACAATAATAATAACAATAATAATAATAATAATAATAATAATAATAATAATAATAATAATAATAATAATAATAATAATAATAATAATAATAATAATAATAATAATAATAATAATAATAATAATAATAATAATAATAATAATAATAATAATAATAATAATAATAATAATAATAATAATAATAATAATAATAATAATAATAATAATAATAATAATAATAATAATAATAATAATAATAACAACAATAATAACAACAATAATAACAACAATAATAACAATAACAATAACAATAATAACAATAACAATAATAACAATAACAATAATAACAATAACAATAATAACAATAACAATAATAACAATAACAATAATAACAATAACAATAATAACAATAACAATAATAACAATAACAATAATAACAATAACAATAATAATAACAATAACAATAATAACAATAATAACAATAATAACAATAATAACAATAATAACAATAATAATAATAATAATAATAATAATAATAATAATAATAATAATAATAATAATAATAATAATAATAATAATAATAATAATAATAATAATAATAATAATAATAATAATAATAATAATAATAATAATAATAATAATAATAATAATAATAATAATAATAATAATAATAATAATAATAATAATAATAATAATAATAATAATAATAATAATAATAATAATAATAATAATAATAATAATAATAATAATAATAATAATAATAATAATAATAATAATAATAATAATAATAATAATAATAATAATAATAATAATAATAATAATAATAATAATAATAATAATAATAATAATAATAATAATAATAATAATAATAATAATAATAATAATAATAATAATAATAATAATAATAATAATAATAATAATAATAATAATAATAATAATAATAATAATAATAATAATAATAATAATAATAATAATAATAATAATAATAATAATAATAATAATAATAATAATAATAATAATAATAATAATAATAATAATAATAATAATAATAATAATAATAATAATAATAATAATAATAATAATAATAATAATAATAATAATAATAATAATAATAATAATAATAATAATAATAATAATAATAATAATAATAATAATAATAATAATAATAATAATAATAATAATAATAATAATAATAATAATAATAATAATAATAATAATAATAATAATAATAATAATAATAATAATAATAATAATAATAATAATAATAATAATAATAATAATAATAATAATAATAATAATAATAATAATAATAACAATAATAACAATAATAACAATAACAATAACAATAACAATAACAATAACAATAACAATAACAATAACAATAACAATAACAATAACAATAACAATAACAATAACAATAACAATAACAATAACAATAACAATAACAATAACAATAACAATAACAATAACAATAACAATAACAATAACAATAACAATAACAATAACAATAATAATAATAATAATAATAATAATAATAATAATAATAATAATAATAATAATAATAATAATAATAATAATAATAATAATAATAATAATAATAATAATAATAATAATAATAATAATAATAATAATAATAATAATAATAATAATAATAATAATAATAATAATAATAATAATAATAATAATAATAATAATAATAATAATAATAATAATAATAATAATAATAATAATAATAATAATAATAATAATAATAATAATAATAATAATAATAATAATAGTAATAATAATAGTAATAATAATAGTAATAATAATAGTAATAATAAACACTCAACCGGATCATAAATTTGTAGATTAGATCATAAGGATTCAAATAAGATAACAAAGATTTAGATCAGATCAGAAATATTCAGATGAGTAAGACAAATTTTTGGCTTGGCATGATTATTAATGAAGTGGTTGCAAAAAGTAAAAATTGTGATTGATGTTTGAGTATAATAAAACGAAATGGTGTGGACCACATATTTCTTTCCAAAAAAGGAAATGGACACTGATTTTGTGACAACCCAAAAAGGAAAGTAAGACAGGTAAAATGGATCGAAGGAATTATTATTTAAATAGTTTTATTAGTTTTTTAGTATTTTTTATGAATTACTATTTTTTATTATTTTATTTTGAATTAAGGGTCTGTTTGCAACAGCTTCTGCTTTTAAAAAAGTGCTTTTTTTTAATAAAATGGGGAGAAGTGATTAAATAAAAGTTGACAGTGTTTGAGAAAAAAGTGATTTTGAAAAGTAAAAGTGGGTAGTGTTTGGTAAAATAAGTGCTTTTTATGTAATAGAAAAAGTAAAAGCACTTTTGACGCGGAAGCCGAGAAAAGTAAAAGTTGTAGTGTTTGGGAAAATAAGTGATTTTTTAAAGCCAAAAGCTGAGAAGTGCTTTTTTAAAAGTAGTTGCAAACAGACCCTAAAACATTTCAATAGCTACAAGGGTATATTTGTCCAAGACACAAATAATTAGTCCTATGAAACATAGTTTATTTTTGGTCCTATTTGTGCAAACAGAGTGACTTTTAGTTCTATATGCATAATTAACTCTTTTATACATAGTGAATATGTTTTGAAGTTTTTATATTAGGGCCATTAAAATTGATTTATTTAAAAAAATGTTTCTTTGATCATTAGCAAGATTTATTTAGTGGTGTAACTCGCGTACATTAAGATGTAACTCGAGTACATTAAAATGTAATTCTAGAAAAGTTGACATTTAAACATCTTTGTTTTATGTTTAGAACAAGGGGTAATTTGAGTTTGCACCCCATTTTATTGTCTAAATTGGACTTTGCACCCCGTTTTTAAAAAACTTTGTATTTGCACCCCCAACCCCTTGTGAGAAGACAAAAATGCCCTTAGATAAGGGGTAATTTTTGAAGGCCAACAAAATTATTAATGGAGGGCATTTTTGTCTTTTCACAAGGGGTAGGGGGTGCAAATACAAAATTTTTTAAAAACGGGGTGCAAAGTAAAATTTAGACAATAAAATGGGGTGCAAACTCAAATTACCCCTAGAACAACTTAGAAAGATTACGTTTAGAACTCTAGGACGCAGATAAGAGTTCTTATCTCATTCAATTACAATTTTAGCCACAAAACATTAATTTACCTAAAATCTACATTCATGAATTGTGGCAATTAGAGCTACAATAACAATA